TCTTACAAGGCGCCATCATCTCTTTTCGTCGCGTCTTCTTTCGCTCAATCAAACACTTGGTGCGGCTAGGCTTCATTTGCTTTTCATCCGAGTCTTCATGCCACTTTGATTTCCACCCACTAGAGACGCTCAGATCTGACATTTTTCTCACCTACATCTCATTTCTTCAACTCTTGGGCGCCATTATTATTTCTTCTAGGCCCCCTTCCTGGCGTGCCAATTGTTTCAACCAAGAAACAAGGGAGGCGCCGAACCTGTGAAAGTGCGGGGTTGGCCCCGATTATCTACACTCCGACGATCAACATTAGTGAACTTGTAAGGGCATAGGAAGAGCAAAGGTAGAGAGATTGTATAGAGAGATAAGAGATATATCCCAAAATGAGAAGAAGAGGAGAGACCCTTACTTGGAGTGCTTAGTAGTGTATTTATAGGCCAAGCTTGCCTTCTTCATGTGGGCTTTAGTTGTGGGATCATGAAGATACTTTGTGGGTTTGGGCCCATACATACTTGATGGATTGTAGTTGTGGTTTGGGCTGTGCTAAGCCATGTTTAATGGCCCAACAATTGTCCCCCAGTTAGGTATCCAGTAGCGTACTGGATGCCTAACTAGAAGTAGAAGTCTTTGCCTTGCAAGCTTTACTACGAACTTAGAGTTGCACGCTTGATTGTTTAAGCGCCGTCTTGTCTCCTGGCTTAGCTGACTCATGTCGCCCAACATCATGTTTGCCGAACAATCTCGAAATAAGAACTTTGCAGAGAATTGACAATAAAACATGATATGACTCATAGAAGAATTAACTCAAATTGTGGCAAGTAACGTATTGTACCCATGACGTCTACAAAATCACGACATTTTAGGCTCCCAGTTGGATCAATTGTTACTGTTTTATAGTTTCATCATCAACGCCAATGAATGAATCATTAAAGTTATGTAATATGGTCATTAACAATTTGAATAACAATATCATTGATTTACAACATCTTTAGTACTAATGATTAACATTTTCACATCATGTTTATCTAGTCATGGCCTCTTCCAATGATTTCTAATGACATTATTAATGTTTTATGATCAATTAATATTGTTTTACATTATCATTCTCAATTATCATAAAGCACAATACTAATTCCCAACATATTGGATACTTGTGACATAGTGCACCTGTGTGATTCAGTCAAACAAACATTATCCAGAAAAATATTAGCTCAAGCAAACCAATATTCACGCCTCAACACCAAACTTTTAATAACAATACAATAAATCATTGATAACGAAAAGTATTTCGTTGAAAATAAACACAAAACATCAATGAAAAATGTCCGACTTCAACATTATAAATGACATCAAACTTTTAATAAAGATAATGAAATCCATTAATATCGAATGATCAAGTCACTGATAAGGAAATAGATTTTTGTAATAAAAAATTATTAATAATATTCAGATGCAATGTTTAATGTCAAATAGCACTAAAAGCGCATTAATAAGTAACATGTGTTTAAGGGATAATGTATTCAAAAACTTTGATAATGATAGAAACTAATGATTGTTAAGTACCTTATTAGATATTATTAATATTTTATTTTTCAAACATTGATAATGTTTATGCACAAATATTAATAATGACACCAACTACGTTACTAACTTAGACTGAAAGATTAATAACCATAGTTATATCATTAAACGTAAATTCACTTTTGCTAATGTCATAAACAAACGAATTCCTAACAAGTATGCTTCTTGATAATGACATTTGACAAAGTTACAAACATAAACGAAAAAATATTAATAATTCAAATCACCAAACATAAGCAATCTTATGAAATAAATTTTTGCTAATGGTTGTATTGTGCTTGAAAAAAAACATTGATAATAACACTTCAAATGATTGTAAATCATTGCGAACCAAATTGATAATACGTTGTGACAGTAAATAAACTTCAAGTACCAACAAATTGAAAACACAATTTCACTTTTGCTAATGTTACAAACAAAACATAACATAAAAAGTTAATAATGTCATATAAAATTATTAAAAAATATGTCGAACAACATTAATAATAACACAAACGAATACCTAACAACGAAAAATCCCAAACCCATGCAACGAAAAACCCTAATAATGATTCAATTTATAAATATTGATAATGTCATTACAAAATGTTAATACTTAATACTAATCGAAAGTTGCCAAGATGTGAGAGAGACATATATTTTAAATTTCAAATTTCTATTTTAGAAAAAGATAATTATTAAATTTGGATTTTATGAAATATTAAATAAAATTAATTTCATATTTCTTTTTAATTATAATGTAGAGAGAGGGTTATGGAGAAAATCATGGGAGAAGAGAGAAAGAGAATCATTAATTAATTATATTTGCATACCCCATTTACGGGAACGGATCAGGTCAGTAACCTTATGGTGAGTAACCATGAGTAACCAGCACACATCAGCATGACATCAGCATCCTCTCTTTCCTGGAAAGTCTTTAATTTTCTCCTCCTTAATCTTTGACGGACGATTTCTCACTCGTTTTAAGTCAAAATTTAATTTTTTTGCACAGTTAGATCAGATTAATTGTGCTCTTCAAAATGATATCCACTTTGATATATTTTTCGAACAAAAAAAAATTGAATCATTTTTACCAGTCTATATCATATGGTATTGACTGGTATTGAAATAAGAGCATACCTATGGTTTGAAAAGCGTACCATGGTGGTATGAACAAATCAAGACTGCAGGATAGTTAAATACATGATAGTAGAAGTATATTAACTGTCATTTACGACTTTTATCATTGTGTACCACAAGATACCACCCCGTACCAGGGTGGTATTGTGTGGTATTTTTTGTTCATGTAATTTGTTCACCCAGAAATTTGTAGATCCAATAGATCATGATGAACTCGTCCCTTCTGTGCAAACGTTTTCAAAAACGAAGAAAATACCATATGGTATGCAGTTGGTACCGAGAAGCCAGAATTTTTTTTCTCAAAAAATATTGAAAATTGATCTCGTTTTGTAGAGCACGATGAACTCGTTCCATCTGTGCAAAAAAAATTAAAATCCGAGTTAAAACGAAAAATATATGAGCCGATTAAGAAAACTAGGAAAAATAAAAATGGTCTTTAATTCTCAATCTTTAGATCTGAATTTTCTAAATGAAGGGTCCAGATTTGGTTATTGATGGGTGCATAACCATTATGCACTCTATCTTGAGCCCCCATTTACCCTTAAATACCTATTAACTACTAACTCCCATTAACTACCTAATCCACTATCAGCCAATAAAAAGGCTTTAAGATTCTCCTTAAGAAATGAGACTTAAGAACTTGAACTCAACCCGCTGCCGCAACTTCGCAAGGAAAAAATCCAAAAGTACCACTGTTTTAAAAAAAATTCCAAAAATACCACTCAACCCCAAAAAATTCCAAAAATACCACCCTTTTTCAAAAACCGCCACCCCACCCAGCGGTTTGGTCGAAAACCGCTTGTCGGGGGCGCGGTTTTGGACCAAACCGCGGGCCTAGGGGGCGGTTATAAAAAAAAAAAAATTTGGACCAAAACCGCTGGGTGGGGTGGCGGTTTGGCCCAAAACCGCCACCCCAACCAGCGGTTTGGTCCAAAAGTTCGGTCGAAACTTCAAATGAACGTAACTTTGCACTCGGGTATCCGATCGTACCGATTGTTTTTTTCATTTCGCATAACTTTTCAAGATCTACAACTTTTACTAGGATGAAATTTTCAAAACAGGAACTATTTGTGGATATACGGGACCTTGAGAATAACTTTACCTTTACTTTTCAGAAATCCATGTACATTTTGAAATTATGATTATATTAAAAGTTGTAGATCTTGAAAAGCTATGCGGAATCAAAAAAAAGTTCATAACATTCGGAGTTTGGAGCACAAAGTTATGGCCGCCCAAAGTTTGACGAAAGGTGAGACCCGGCGGTTTGCAGCTTGCAAGATCTCAAAAAGTTTGCGGCCTCCATTTTTTGAATCCGAATAAATTTTTGAGATCTTGCAAGTCTCAAACAGTCGGGTTCCGTCTTCGTCTCGAAAAAAAGTCATTTGCCACCCCGAACGATCTTTTTTTTTATTTCGTCAGACTTTGGGCGGCCATAACTTTGTGCTCCAAAATCCGAATGTCATGAATTTTTTTTTTATTCCGCATAACTTTTCAAGATCTACAACTTTTAATATAATCATAATTTCAAAAAGTACATGGATTTCTGAAAAGTAAAGGTAAAGTTATTCTCAAGGTCCCGTATATCCACAAATAGTTCCTGTTTTGAAAATTTTATCCTAGTAAAAGTTGTAGATTTTGAAAAGTTATGTGAAATGAAAAAAAAAATCGCCACGATCGGATACCCGAGTGCAAAGTTACGTTCGTTTGAAGTTTCGACCGAACTTTTGGACCAAACCGCTGGTTGGGGTGGCGGTTTTGGGCCAAACCGCCACCCCACCCAGCGGTTCTGGTCCAAATTTTTTTTTTTTTTTTATAACCGCCCCCTAGGCCCGCGGTTTGGTCCAAAACCGCGCCCCCGACAAGCGGTTTTCGACCAAACCGCTGGGTGGGGTGGCGGTTTTTGAAAAAGGATGGTATTTTTGGAATTTTTTGGGATTGAGTGGTATTTTTGGAATTGTTTTTTTTTACCAGTGGTACTTTTGGATTTTTTCCACTTCGCAAGCCTATTTCTCTATGAAGACCACGGAATACGGAAACAAGGCCGAACAATCGTTAGGTGGGCCTTGGCCTCGGCCTCCCCCAATGTGTCATTTCGAGACGTTTCTTTTTATTCCTCATCCTGTCCGTATCCGGATATTCAGCCATCGTTGTCACCGACGAAACGCGGATTTCTCCACGGAGCTGACGTGGCTAACAGCCATTGGTTCACCATAAACAAAGGCAAAAGCGGTAGATTGCGTTGCGCACGGTCGACAGTGCCCGGAGCCGCGAGCATTTCCCAGGCCCGTTTGCCCGACCCGGCCCGCTTACTCTCATCTTCCCTAATTCATCCATGTCTATCTCTCTCTCACTAGGAAATTTCCCTCTCTCCCTTTCCCGCGAGTCGTTTAGAGAGAGAGAGAGAGAGATAGAGAGGGGAAGACAATCGAAGAAAATACAACAAAAGGAATCGGCGTAAGATTTTGGGGCATTATCAGTTCTATTCTGTGGCTCGATCTGGAGCCAGCCGAAGCCGAGAGGAAGGGCTGAGCAAGAACACGTACTATGGATCAGATATTCAATAAGGTTGGCTCATACTGGTTCAACCAGAAGGCCAACAAGGAGCTCAATTCCGTCGGCGACGATATCAACGTACGTTTCCTCATCTGCCTTGCCTTTTAATTTCATTCAATTGTCTGCGTTCTAATTGGAAAATTGTCATGGTTTGGTGCTCGATCTGGCCGTAAATTACTTAATTCGGTTTTCCCCAGCTCTTGATTTGTTGACTAATAGCAAGATTTGGATCAGTGAGTTATTTAATCACGAAATTTGCTGTTCACTCGTTAGTTTCGCATTATGGGAGAGGATCAATGGAAATCTATGTTGAGGGATGAACGTTTCTATGATTGGGTTATATATTTATTGCATTCGCAATGTTATGAACTTGTGAAAGGCTTAAATTTTGATGCTGTTCAGCATAAATGCATGGTGTTTATTGAGAGAGAAGAATCACATAAGAAAATGATTATCAGAAAATTGGTTAGCTTTGGATCCCATGTTTACTTTGTAGGGTTTGAATTCTATATCTATTATCAGAACATGGGTAGGTTTGGATCGCATGTGTAGACTGTGAGAAGTATAGTCATTGTTATCTAACATCCAAGCTAGCCTTGAGTTTCCTTGTGCATTCACGGGTTTTGTTGGTTCAGTCTATACTATCTAACTAGCCGTCTTGTTCCATATGACATCCATGTTCGCGATCAGTCGTTGTCAGACAGTATCGGAGGAGGGGCCAAATGGGTTGTCAACAAAATCAAAGGTCCGTTTATCCCTTTGCTTGCATTCCCTTGTCTCTTTTGCTCCAATTCTAGGTTCAGACCACATGCTGGTCTCCGTTTTGGTACTGTATTGTGCTATAATCAATCTGAGTTTTGATCGTGTAAGCTGGACATCTTAGCATTAGCACTAGAATTGAATATATTGATAGTCTTTACTTGTTTTAAACCTTTTGTTTGTATCCATATTGAGCACAGGGAAAATGCAGAAGCCATTGCCGGAGCTGCTAAAGGAGTATGACTTGCCAGTGGGGATCTTTCCACGTGACGCTACCAACTATGAGTTCGATGAACAGACGCACAAGCTGACTGTGTTTATTCCTCAGATCTGTGATGTCGGTTACAAGGACTCGTCTGTCTTGCGCTTCAATGTCACGGTAACCGGGTATCTCGAGAAAGGGAAGCTGTCAGATGTTGAAGGAATGAAGACGAAGGTGATGATTTGGGTTAAAGTGACTTGTATTACATCTGAGGGTTCAAAGGTCCACTTCACAGCTGGGATGAAGAAATCCAGGAGCCGGGATGCATATGAGGTCCTTAGAGATGGGATCCGTGTGGAGAAGTTCTAAACCCCTTGATGTGGGGGTCTTATCTGTTGTCTAAAGTGCATCTTTCTTAACCATCCTTTTCAACAGACGCTTATTTTCTTATGTTCCTTGTGTGCTGGAAGCTACGATAACAGGTTCTCCTGTTATTTTAATTCGTACAGTGAAATTCTCTATCTCAATTCCTCTTGATGTAGTCAATGAGGTACTCAGCTTCGTTTGTAAGTTGTAAGAACGTTGTTCCGAAGCTCAACCTGATCTGCAATCTACTCGAACTAGTAGCAATTCTGGTTTCATGCCTCATGCCCATCTCTGATGTCGTGGCCAATGGACGATAGGTGAGGGTTGACATCTTAACGTTACTGCAATTCTGAGACTACATTTTAAGAAAATTGCAGAACAGCATATGACAAACTTGGAGATGTTGATTTCCTATGTATACCAATAAGCAAGGAATGAAGATAAAACCAGTATCCAACTCGATTTGTTCTACAAAATGTCCCCAGTGAAGGAAAAGCACGCTTTTCCAGCAACATCATAGCAAACTGGTACAAACAACAAATGACAACAGCCGAAGAAGTCCCATGTGAATGAATAGGCATCTCTTCACGAGCACTAAGAATATATATGCTAAGTTAGAAGAATATGGAGACATGGCCAGAGAACCCCCTCGATGCATCGCTCTCACTCTCCCCCTGAAAGTGAACCCAGGATGTGAACTAAAAACGCATAAATCAAACAGGCAACCATCTCAGCAGATCTTCTATGATTGCTAAGACCGATTCGATCTCAACTAGCAGCCGTAGTACATAAAATACATCTCAACCGAGCACCCTTATTGGACGGATCCTCATCCTCATCATCATCCTCATCCTCATCATCATCACTTCCCTTCTTGACTATGGAGTTCATGGAATCCATAAGACAAGCTTGGTGGTAAGCATGGCAGCAAAAGAATGCGATGACCGAAACGTTTTGTATGGAGAAAGGGTCGAAACACATGCAACATCTGGCATCTCCCCTTGTCTTCGACTTAACAACCTCCATGGGTTTCACGCTTGGCATTCTGTCCTGGGATTCCCGACGACTGGTGTCCCTTTTGGTCCTCGAATCTTCTTCTTCACCACTCAAGCAAATCGCCTTCTTCGCTTCCTTGTAGTATTTAATCAACAGGTTTACACAATCAGCCTGTTGCAAGTTCCCAGGTAGAAAGAAAACCAAAATAACGTATGGTCAATTGATGTCCCAAAATAGCTGTTGACAGAGGTCAGGACATAAAGGAATTTGTACCTTCAGAATGTCATTGCAACCATTTCTAAGAGACGTTTCTGTTCTGTAATCGGTTATAATTTTCACCAAACGATCCCTCAGTCTGAGATCAACAAAGCAGGGAGTTAAGGGGAGACTACAGAGACAAAAATCGAATGATCAAAAGAAGAAACACAAGACATACTAACCGTGGAATCTCCAAGCCATTGGGTACAATATTTACAATATACAAAGGGTCTAGATTCCCGACCGTGTGCTCCAACAAAACTCCAACCTACCAGGCAGCACACATTGTTAAGAAAAAAGACCCAGAACCCAAGTGCTTGTAAATTGTAATAGCAGTGTGCAATAAGCAGCTGGCAGACGTACCATTTCAGGCTTATTAATACACTGCTTAATCAATTCTTCCCAAAGATCATCATCGTGCTGCATGGTAACAAATTCCACAGCCTGCACTCATTGAGCACCATTGTTTCTTTGAGCAATTACATCTTTAGTGTTGGCATTACCAAACAACAGAATCATCAGAACAAATCAAGAATTTTTGGGACAACATAAAACATACCTCTTCTATATCCCCCAATTTGTTTATGATGACAGCTAAGGCCTTTTTGGCATTTCCCATTCGTCCAAGGATGAAAACCTGCTCCCTTAAAAGGTCTCTTTTGACACAAATGTCAAATGCCTGCATTTAAGCTTAATTAATGACTCGGTAACACCCAGCTATTTCTCAATGAAAGATCACAAGCAACAATTATAAACAGCTCAAACCTTCTCAAGTTTGTAATGTTGGCTGCTGCGCAGAAAAGGGAGTAACATTTTGGGATCATAATCCGCATAAAGGTCTACCTGTCAACAAAATAGTAAGGGATTGTATTAGATGACTAAACAAGGCTACCCATCAGTAACACTCTAATGACCAGGCGAAGCTATGAGCACGTATATAACAAGTCAAATCAAAGTTAAGTAGCAAGTGCCCAACTTATCTCAAATAAACATTGTTAAGAAAAAACCTGTTTATCTCAAGTAGGTGTTTGTCATTTGAGTCTATGGATGTATACAGAGTATTTGAGCAGCTGAAAATATGTCTTAACAACAGGTAACAGAAAGAAGCAACTGAATCAGAAGCTACTTCTCTCTCGATGCCCTGCCACGTCCAATTAACAGTGAACAGCATTCAAGCAAGAAAACGCCTCAATTATGATGCAGGGTAATGTTCCGTCTGATAATGCTATCTATCTCAACAGTAGTTTTCAGCAATGAAAATTATAGATGATTTTAGTATTATACTGCATCAGCAAACCACCATCTCTCACCTGCATATCATGATATTCTTTCCCAGCATGTGGATTAGCTTCGAAGAGAGAATGTAGATACAAATGCAAGAAATATCTCGAATCACACTGAGTTTTTGAAGCCAATAGTTGTGAGACAACGTCATTTGGAGAAATTAGTTCCCTGTTTTGCATCAACAGAGAAACTGCACGCTTGCAATCAAGCATCATTAACTGGACGACCTGTAAAAGGATATCTACATAAGCACATCAACAAGAAATCAAGGGACCATGTTAACAAACATGACAAGCCATAAATAAACATTGTTAATTTGAGAAGATCTAAAGCTAAAATGGAAAAGCATACGTGTTTTTGAATACCAGAGATTGCAAAAGGTATAATATATGTTCATATAGTAATAAAACTGAATGAAGTAGTGTGCTCAGTGGCAGACCCAGGAATTTATCTATGGAGTGTCATCTTTCAAAACTAAATTAAAATAATAATTAAAGCTTATTTAAAAAAATAATATCCAACTATTTATAAATTACAACAAAATACCACGACATGTTTTCATATTCTAAAAAAATAAATATAATATACATTTAGTATCTATAGTGCTCAATAAATCTTGTTCAATATATCATACTAGACAATCCTTTATGAACTAATCACCTATTCGATTATGAAAATTGTTCTTATATAACCCAAAGCTGAAAGAAATCTTTCAATACGAACGATTGAAGAAAAGGGAAATAAGAAGAGACGACTCTCATTTTTTCACTTGCTTTCGTCAATTTCACAAGGGTGAGGATTGCTTGGTTAGAATTTAGTTTATAGGTTTTGGAAGAAAAATTGGAGTAGAATTGGACTTTAATTTTTAATTGTATTTTAGATTATAATTATATTTATTTTAGAAATATAAAACTAAATTAATTGTAGTCTAATTTAAAACATGTTCACCAATAACTGTAGTGTCAAATATTTGAACAACATAAATTATCACATTTTTTCTCTTTTTCCCAAATTCAAACTACTAGAGGGCTTCAATAATCTTTCCCCAAATTTTAGGTTCACCAATAATTGTAGTGTCACATATTTGAAGAACATAAATTATCACATTTATTTCCTTTTTCCCAAATTCAAACTACTAAAGGGCTTCAATAATTTTCCCCAAATTTTAGGGGTGTTCCAGGGGTTCGCCACAGAGCGCACTACTAGTCTAGATATATGCATAGAATCATATTTGGTATTTAACAAACCTTTTCACGGACGATATCTTGCAAGTTGTGCTTCTCAATGAAATCGAATATATTTGGCTTCATCAACTGACAAGAAGAAGAAGAAAAAAATAACAGATAAAAGCAATGTTCATGTCAAATTCATCAAACAAAGTTCTTTTCGGGAGCAAAATTGTTACTGATATTCAAACAGAAAGCAAAGAACTTACATCAGCATAGTGCGAAAAAGCCTTCTCGTATTGCCCATCAAGAACATACAACTCAGCTAGAGCCTAACACACAAACACACAATAAAGAGCGTCGATAAAAGATATATAGCAGTCATTGTCTGAGCAGAATAAAAGATCATGGCAACCAACCTCTTTGAGTGCATCACTCATGGAGGATGCATTCATTTGAGGTTCTATAGCTGCTATAACTGTCGTTGCAGAGTAAACCTTAGATGGCCATGATTTAACAGTTGACAACAGATCCTTGTGGAATGATGAATTTGTAGCTAGCGCTACAAGAGCAACCTGTTGGACAGTAGAGGATAAACACCTTGAACATCACATGCAAAAGGCACAACACTTGAAAATGATGCTACAAACCTCATAGGCAGTGTCACGTAGTCTAGGATTTTCTGTTGGTATATATGGAACCAATACAGGGAGCTGACGGAGTTGAGCAAAATGGAAAATCCATCTGTGACAAACCAGCCATGTAAGCCATTGAGAGAGACTACGAGAGCAGACAAATATTGGGTGCTGTTCTTACCTCTCCCATGCAGAAGCAGACCCCTGCAAAAGTTTGGGACACAGAGATGCAGCCTCGGCATACTTCCTCTCAACAATTAAATGGTCAAGATATCTAGCTCCCACCTGCTCACCAAAATAACTTTAATATGCACAAAAGAGGGCATAGACAAATCTAACTACATACTATTGTCCTCTGACAAAGAAAGACTTAAATTTTAGCATGGATGTACAACAGGGAATACTGGTATACCGAGGTGGTTGACCAAAAGTAGTTAAAGAAATTGAATACAGATCAATTTAGCATGGATCTGCAGCACATAAAACAGTAGTATCCAACAACAGATTTTCTGCCACAATTTAGCGTGCTCCAGATAAATGGCTACCAAAGAGTTTCTACAGCACATAAAACAGTAGTATTCCACAACAGAGTTTCTGCAACAGCGCAGCGTGCTCCAGATCAAATGCTACCAAAGAACTTTACTGGAATGGAGAGGGCAAGCATGAAACAAATGCAAAGGAGAAGAAGGGCTTTGGGAGGTGGGCGAGAGCAAGATCCGAAAGCTACTAATGGATCATAAAGTCCAGTCTCAAGTAGTTCTCTGTACTGCCAGAAAATATGGGACACCCAATCTATATGGCATCAAATTCCATGTCTAGGTGCTGTGTAGAGAGGGCAATCTACATGCATAAGAAAGGAAGGTACCTCGTTAAGTAGTTCACCGCAACCCTGCCCTTCTTCAACTGCTGCTAAAGCTTTTTCATGATATCCATGTTGTAAAAGCCATGAAATATGATCTTCAGCATCCCTAATGATCAACACTTTATTTAGGTTTTATTCACTCAAAATAAAGAGGGCACTAACAATGAGACTACGAGAAAAGGAATGAGTCCCTCAACCTTAAACTGTTCTCCAAAATCTATGGACCGTTAGGTGTGGTTAATGAACATATAGAAAGCATACTACTTGATAAGCAATGTCACAATTTGTTCCTTGATGCAGATTACGAGTTCTAGTATGATTATATGAGAACTGCAAACGGCGGGGGAAATAAGTAATACCATCATAAAGCAAGGATCAGGCAGTGGAAGATACAAACCTCGGTTTTGCTATTACCACGTCCTTACGCGAAACAATGTAGTACATTGGTTCATCACCAGCAGCCCACTGACCTCCACCATAACTGCTTCCTGCATTCACATGGAAAGGCAACAATGTTAATTCTTCGCAGATTGCATGATTTCAAAGACCCCCACTTTCATGGATGGGATCTCACCCGAGAAAGGAGCATGAGCAAGTGAATAGTCCTTGGCTTTGTAATGCTCAAAGCCATGGACTGGCAGGGCATCTGTAGAAAGTTCATCATTATTCCAAGTGACGACACGAACCTCAGGCCTCTGTGCATTAACCTGCTACAGATTAAAAGTGATGGATGGAAATTCATTAGAAAATACTGAAGTTATTTGAAATCCGCATATTAGAAACATCCATCTGCGCTCTGCCTAATACTTCTAGAGGGAGTTAGAATTTATCCCTAAGCTAACAATCAATCAGACTGAATGCAGTCAGAAGCTTCTGACTAAGTTTGAAGTCAAGCCGTATGACAAACAACCTTACATGAACAACTCATTTCACAAGCACAGTCAGACTTAAAATATATAGCAGATCTTGTCATCATAGAGAAATTACCTGTCTTGATGGGATCGTGCTGCTGAATTCTTTCTCTCCATCTTCTCCATGAATATAAGCTAGAACGACCAAAGAATCACCAAATGGAGCAATGCCTGAAATGTAATAGCTAGTCTGAAAAGACGCCACAATGTCCACTTGGTTCCTGCTTGACGTAAATGTCCCATTGGATCCATTGGATTGATTTGTTATTATTGATGCAATTTTCACAGATGTTCCCCAACCAATAACCAACAATGTGTCACTCTGTCATTTGGAAAGCATACAAATGGCACAATCTCAAAAGAATGTAAACGTTGAGAAATCATTAAATTATAAAACAGAACTACCTGAGTTAAGCATACTAATGATGGACAAAAGCAGCTTGGACCTTCAAGCTACAGATACCTTCACTAACCTGCCAAACAAGGTGAGGAAGCAAAAGCTCTGGGCGAGGACTGCCTCGTGGCCTTTCAATAAATGTTATGCGCTGATCGTTGGCAGCATCATAAACTTTCACACCTGTATCATTAGCCCAAGCAATGAGATTTGTTCTCCACTTGACAGCATGTATTGGACCTTCCCCAGAGTGCAAGACCTAAAATCAGAAACAGAAACAGAATGTTAATTCTAACCACATATCATTTTCAGCCATAAGTTGTAGCAACCAAAGTTCTGCTGCAAAGAAGTGGATGTTGTTAATATCCAGACCTGATCCCGATAGCCCAACCATTTCTTCGAGTTTAGATACAGCTGACCCGCAAGGCCACCAGTAACAAATCTCCTTGAAGTTTTTCTTGAATATTCTGGATCCAGAGAGATGGCCTTCATTGGACGATGATACTCAAACTTCATTTTCTCATCAGTGAAGAGGCTATTTATTACAACCGTGCCATCATCTGAACAGCTTCCAATATATTCACCGTCCACATCAAAGCTAAGATCGTTGACTGCACCCGTATGAGTTGGAAATTCCTTAACCTGGAAAACAAAGAACAAAATGGGGAAAAAATGGAAACTTTCAGAGGTCTCACTTTCAAAGACACATCAAGTTTTCAACCCATGACCTTTCAGGTTCAGGTCCATTAAAATGCTTTTCACGCACAGCGATCAGGAGGGCTATATATTTCCTCAACATGACTCCTACATTCTTGGAGGTCATAGTATTACTAATCACAAGTCCACCTAATTCAAATTCTGGATCCCAACTTCATCCAACATTCAGTTTTAATAGTGAAAACAGACGTCGCAACAACTCAAGGAGCTGATTCCAACTCAAAAAGGAGATGAAGTTGCCATAACTGGTGGCCGAATGTCACGTCATATAGAGAAGTTCTTACAATCAATCAGTCATCGGAGGAAGAAAAGACCTCCAATCGGAGCAAACTTCAAGAGCTTATATGGAAATTGAGATCCAATTAGCAGCAAATTAAGGGCCGAAACTCACCTGATTCCCGAGAAAATCAAGTATGTGGACAGTACCGTCTAGCGTCCCGAGCGCGATCATTCGCTCAGCCACCGAAATACAGGACGCCGCATCGTTGGAAAGCAGAGACGGTATGCTGCCGCCCATCCTCTGGTACTTGAGCTTCGGCTCCACCTCTTCCTCGTCTTCCTCTTCTTCTTCCTCTTCCTCGTCATCCTCCTCTTCCTCTCGCTCGTCGTCGCCATCTACGCCGTTCTCCGACGGAATCGGAGCCATTTGTAAGGTTTTCGCGGGATCGGCAATTGTGAGAGAGTCGACGGAGGGGGGGAGTAACTGGGAGACCGGAAAATTGTCCAAACGATCTGTTTTGGCCTTTTGGGTTTGGCGGTGAGATTAAAATTACTCGGAAAAAGAAAAGGAAACACGAGTAAATAAAAAAACGAAACGGGAGGTGATCAATTCATCGAACAAAAAACGGGTAAAACAGCGAAAAGAAACGGGGGTGAGAGAGGAAAGGGAACGCCGAAACAAATTAGCATAATTCTCTTCTTCCTCCCCCTCTTCTCGATGCTTCCTGCGAGTTAAGCGGCGGAAGATAGCGAGATTGCGCCGGGGAGCGAACGAGAAGTGATGGGTTTTTTGAGCAAAGACAAGAAATCTCCAATTCTTGCCTCAACATCGCCTTGCGCTGATCTCAGAGCTGCTTATCACATTTGCTTCAACAAGTAACATACCTGCAACTCTCTCCCTCTAAAACCCTAACTCCATTAATTTGTTTGCCCCAGCTGAAATGGGTTTTTTTCGCTTATCTTTGTTGGGGGCAGGTGGTACTCGGAGAAGTTCGTAAAGGGTCAGTGGGACAAAATTGAATGCCTCTCTGAGTGGGAAAGCTACAGAGATTGCCTCTCGGTAACCTCTCTTCCTCTTCCCTGATATTCCTGTTTTGTAATTGGCGACTTGGTTTTCGTTTACCATTTTATGCCAGCCGTTAATGGCGCATTGCTTTTGTTGAAACAGAAGCATTTGGACGATAAGCATCTGCGTCGGTTCTTGGAAGCGGAACTGGTTCCCAGCGACCTGGTGAACAATGCGCCATGATTGATCAGAATGATGGTAAGCCATCCTAAACATTCTAGTGCTTGGTGAGATGGAACTAGTGCTCTGATTTGCCGATTGGAAATTCAGTTGTGCTTAGTCTAGATGTTTGATCGAGCCTTTTGCTATCATAAAGAGGTAGAGCGGAAGGGGAAGAGGGAGACATGGGGATGGGCTAACCATGGTCCTGGTGGGAGGATCCTGCGTAGATAGAATTCGAATTCGATTCTTGCCCAACATAGTTGAATTCTTGCTTTTCTTTTAGGTAATCCTAGATATGACCTATTTCAGTGACTATGTCAGTGTTTGATAGAAACAAGGTTGTTGGTCTCAACCACATTCTGTGTTCAGCAGAAGGGTGGTTACTTGCATCAACAATCTGTTGTTCTATTTCTGGATTTCTCTTTGTGCTCTAGTTTGGAGTCTGTAAGTGCTTATTGGATGTTGAACTCAACAAATTGCAGGCATGGAGAGAGGCCACTGCAGAGTGGGTGATATCATCAAAGCAGATTCTTCCTTTCGATAGGGCTATACATGTTCAATTGACCCAGTCATGGCAGTATCTCTAAGGACGTGACTAGTCTGCATTTTTTTTTTCCATTTATGATACGGCAATATCTCAAGACAGATTTTGTATACATGGAATGTGTAATTAGGTTCTTGCATTTTTCTCCGTGGCAGTACACAGCTGACAGCTCCATTATAGTCAATTCATCTGTTTGGCCTTCTAACCATGAACTTACAACTTCTTCATGTCAAAGTGTTTGGATGATAATTGTACGTTGGTGGAAAAGGGTTCTTCACTTGTTGGGGCTCATTAACTTCTTACATTTGGGAACGTGTTTTCAAAATAAGCTTTGCCAATTCCGCCGTCCTAGCATTGAGAAGAAGCTGTGAGCCGTCTAACCCCGTCTGCTTCTATTTTCCATCACCGCCACCATTGTCAAAGGTAAACCGACCGGTTTTTATCCAATCATGGTGCTAAGGATTTTTTTGAGCACATACTCACGTGGTCTACATGTTGCCACATAATGTGGGACTACTCAGGCGGAGAAAGGTGGGTTTGAAGGGAGGGATAAAGTGGCTAGGGGTGGTAAACGGTCGGTTATCGGGTTAATTGGTAACCGCGGTTAGCAGGTTATCCGTATACCGTTTAGTTCTATATTGTTGTCGATTACTGGTGCCTAAAGGAAACCGGTTAGCCGGGTACTCAATTATTGGTTAACTCCCGGTTACCAGTTTAATTCCTTCTTTCATCTTCTCCAAACTCCATAAAGAAATAGAGAAACCTATCCCCTTCTCCCTCCTTGCGTTCCTCTGCCTCCCCTACCTTTCTACCACCACCAATTACGCCTTCCACATCCCTTCGTTTCCTTTCCCCAACTTCCTCATTCATCTTTCCAACGCCAAGGTCCAAGGAACACAAGCTCTCAATCGGCATTGCCACCATTGTAAGAGTTCATTGATGACGCTAAGCAAATAGGAACTTGTTGACCGTCTTTGTCCCTCGGTATTACAGCTCCAACCATCTTCTTCCCACTAATGCCGCTCATAATTTATATCTCGGCTTGAGAACGACAGCGATGATTTCTGGAACTGAAAACCCAAGTTATAATTTTTTTTATTTTGGATTGTCGATGCAGCTTTCCCTCTACCGTTCTGCAATTTCGAGCTCCTAACAGTCAGCGCTATCACTTCCAGATACATGCAACGAATAATCGGAGAAGAAGCCTGAAGCGGCGAATCTTCAATCTCGTCGATTCTCTTTCATTGATGGAGATGGTAGTGCTAGAACGGCGACAAGTCTCTTTCATCCGGCCGATTCTCTTTATTGCGAACCAGGGAGACGGAGGCTGGTCCAAGTTGATGGCCTTGTAGATTTCAGATTTAAGGACGACGGTGGACTTACGGGCGAGAGACTCTAGATCTCTGACTCCGGATCTTGAAGCGCTTCATATAGAGGAATCACTTGGGCAAATCAGAGACAATAGGTAAATCAGAAAAGAAGTGAATCATCAGATGTAGAGGAAAGTAGCATCGATGGTGCGTGATCGGACTGGAGGATGGTTACAATGACGATGGTCGGACTGGTGACGGCCGGAAACCTTTCTTCTCTAGACCGATGAATGTGACAAGGTCAGAGACAGAGAGATTAGAAGGGCTCACAGGCAGGGGAAGGGAACACGAGGTTCGGCCTGGCAGATATCGAATTGGTATATCTGGTATACCATTTGCAGTAGGTTACTTAGCAGATGGGAGTTGGTATACTAATAGGTGGATTTTGGCTACCGCATACCGGTACAGTCGGTTAACGGTATAATCAATAATGGGTTATACCGTTAATCGGCAAACCGATTTTGGCTAGCTTGAGCCACTTGGTAAGCCATCTTTGCTTTTCGCTTTTTGTGGACCACAATCCAAAAATTCTAACTCAAAGAATTAATTGAAGTCACTCTTCCTAAATCTCTCTTCCTCTCTCTTCTAATTTGGAACGATGAACAATAGTTCAAACATACATAGTACTAGTTTTTTAACGATGATACTAAGTATTGAAAAGAATACTATGTATTGAGGAACAAATATTGCACATAGACGAAAAAGTATTCAAAAGCGTTGAATAAGTATTCAAAAGTATTGCACTAGTATTCAAATGCTTCCAACAATTATTCTCATCTCCGAAACCAACAAAAATTTCAAGAAGTTCTCAAAACTATAAGTTGTATTGAGTGGGATGAATTCATAAATGATGGAATTCTGCATACTATAAGTAGCATTCAACTTGTTGGAACTGGTATTCACTTTGTTATAACTAGTATTCTAGTTACTACAACTAGTATTCACGACTACAAATGTCAGAAAGAAGATATGTAACACAAAGTGAACTAATATAAATATCTCTCAAACTAATATTTATATTGTCCAAACTAATATTCATATCACCCAGAAGATTTTGTATTGAGGAACCAATATTACACGTAGAGGAAGAAGTATTCAAAAGTGTCGAAAAGTATTCAAAAGTGTTGAACCAATATTCAAAGGCTTCCAAAAAGTATTTCCATTTCTGAGACCGACAAATATTTACACGAATGAACAAGTATTCTCGTCCGATAGATTATAGTTGCCATTTATCCTTTTTATGACCCTCTCCCCCCGAATCTATATAAGTTATTTTAGCTTCAGATTCACGTATTAGCTCATGGTGATGTTCAGATCTCATCTTGTCTGGAACAAAATACGACTCAGTCTGATAAGTAGAAAGATCCATCTGAATTTCCAACAGATACTCTCTAGTTATGCTTTGGTCTCCGGTGAATATTCACACGAATGAACAAGTATTCTCGTCGATAGATTATAATTGCCATTTATCCTTTTTATGACCCTCTCCCCCGAATCTATATAAGTTATTTTAGCTTCAGATTCGCGTATTAGCTCATGGTGATGTTCAGATCTCATCTTGTCTGGAACAAAATACGACTCAGTCTGATAAGGAGAAAGATCCATCTGAATTTCCAACAAATACTCTCTAGTTATGCTTTGATCTCCGGTGACGTGATACCAATAAGCTTTCCGAAGAACATTCAATTCCAGGCCAACACTTCTGCTTCTGCTAGTGGATTCCCTATGAGTGCATAGGAGCTGAGATCCTCTCTTCCACTCACTTAAGTGAACCAATAATGTTGGCCTTAGATTTCGGTTGGTGAAGATGCAGGCACATTAGGATTGTGTGAGTATCTGCTCACAAAATTCTTTGGGGGAATCAATACAATCAATAAAACGAGGCGCATATAAGTTTGTCACTTTCTAGTTCTTCGAATTTACTATGAATTATAAGCGTTCTATTCTAAATCAGTTCAATCGCAAAATCGGAGGAACCTAAACCTCCATCTTATTTTAAAGCACCGTAGAATGTTTTCTGGACTATTTGAGTAAGTGATTGTGAGAGACCCTATGGAAATATTATCCTAGTTAGTACTAGGCAAATTTGGATTCGTACTACATGCAATCAAGATTCATGCTCATGCTACAATGGATGACTTCATCAACAAAATGAATAAAGGTCGAGTGTTTATTGTTAATAAAGGAACTCCGAATATGTACTAGAATCGTTCCATTAGTGGTCGTTCGTCGTCACGATCATCGTTGCAACAATCGAACCACTAACGTTTGATCCTCATGTTGCCATAGCCCACAAAATTTCTCATCCTTAGCATGAGTGTGGTTTTAGAGATTCAATTGGTGAAGGAATGGGTTGTTGAATATTGTATTTTTGGAGAATGGAGAGAAAAGTGAGTTTTCTTGATTCGGGAATAACTTATATACCATCTTTGACAATGGCCAAAAACTTCTATACTCACTTCGTGCTTTGATAGACCGATAATTATACATATTTTCACCCCTATTCTGGAGCCGTTTGTGCTGAGGAATCTCGTGTTTTAAGCCGATTTTACGCCAGGTTGTGTGTTTGTGTCATATTTCAGGTCCCGGCGTTGGAATCGAGGCGGAGAAACGAGTTCTGGGTCGAAAGGAGCCGAGTTGGGACTAAGGGGGCTGCAGGAGGAAAATACCCGGTCGGATGGCAAAATACCCGACCGGGTATTTATCGTTTTTGGCACCCGTGAGAAACAGAAGGGGGCCCGGGCGAAGGCCTTAAATCCCCGGTCGGGGATTTTGGTGGCAGACCGGGGATTTTCGCCTTTAGTGGAACGGTGCGTTTCACAATACCCGGTCGAACCATAAAATACCCGACCGGGTATTTTGACCGGGTATCGCGACCAGGCAGCTGATAAAAGAGGAAGAAGGCCAATTTTCAAAGGGTTCCGAGTTTTTGAGAGAGAAACCGATACCTAGAGAGAGAAAGCGTCGAACCAGAGTTCTCAAGCGCCATAGATCGATCTTCAACACCATTGGAGCCCGTCTTGAGCTTGGAGAAGTGCGATTAAACGTCCAGAAGCAGGAATCCAACTTCACAGTATGATTTCCGTGTCTGAATCTGCTTTTGCGTCTTTCTCTATGGAGTAGTTTCCCCATTCATCTGGGTATGGAGAACCCTAGATTTGTATGCTAGGTCTGATTGTATGAACCCAAGTACAGTGTTTGTGAATTGATTATATTCGATTGAGGTTTGAATGATTGAATGACTTGAATCCTGATCAAATTCATGTTGTTTCTGCTTTGACCTGGAATGAGAATATCTGCCTAGGTTGATAGAGTACCCTTAATCGAAGGTGGCGAATTGGTGACTTTAGTCGAGGGGCCAATTCGCTATTCTGTACCGAAGTCAATTCGGTAGTGGAGGTTTGGTTCATTAGGGCCTCAATCTGTTTACTCCGGTGGAGGTTAGTCGCCCGCTAGAGACTCAGATTGAGAGGGTCTGGAGACCTTTAGTCGAGACTTCAGGCTAATTGAGAACCTTCCGCAGTATAACTTTCATGAAAACTGAACTTGGCAAATTGCAATCCGACTTAACTGCAGTCTAGGGGGAAACCATATCCGGGTGACCTCTCTTGACTTGACAACAAACCGTTTACTTGCTCTGTGTTTTGTTTGCTTGAGTTTCACTAAAAGTTCACTGCTAAATAAAAAGAATTCACCGAGTAGTCATCACATCTAGGACCCGGGTTGACATTAAAACCCGACCCGCTATACTACGCTTTAGGAATTGGTTATACTTGGCCATTTTCTAGGGTGACAGTAGGAGTGAGTCAAGTTTTTGGCGCCGTTGCCGGGGACGGCTAGGTTGTTGAAGAAAAGTGATTTCTGTTACTTTGGCATTTTCATTTTTGCATTGAGTTTTGTCTTTCCC